AATAAACATTATCTATCAAAAACTTAATTATTTTCTCTTTTTTTATACTGGAGATTGAACCAGGGGCACCTGACCACTGAGCCACATCCCCAATCCTTTTTATTTTTTTAATTTGAGACAGTTTCACTCTGAACTGTTTAGGGCCTCCCTAAGTTGCTGAGGCTGGCCTTGAAAACTTTTTTTTTTTTTTAGAGAGAGAGAATTTTAATATTTATTTTTTATTTTTCGGCCGACACAACATCTTTGTTTGTATGTGGTGCTGAGGATCGAACCCGGGCCGCATGCATGCCAGGGGAGCGCGCTACCGCTTGAGCCACATCCCCAGCCCCTGGGCTTGAACTTGTGATCCTCCTGTCTCAGCTTCTGAGCTCCTGGAATTACAGACATGTGCCACCACCCCCAGAAAAACATAATTTTTAATAGTATAAAGCACTATCCTCTTAAAACCATTTGAATGTTTTATCCCTGCACATATAACCTTTCTAAAAGCAAAACATCATCAATTAAATTACCTTGCTTTTTGTTTTACATGACACAAACATCATTCCTCAAATCCAGGTTGCGAAGCCCAAGGTGATTCGAAGGGCAAAGTTTGAAAATTTCTAGAAAAAAAAAAAGAAATATTTTTCTACTTCCTGGGACTGCCTAAACAAACCTGATGTCAAAGGTAGCAAGGGCTGAAGGAAGAGAGTGCCCTTAGGTTCATTCACTCAGGAGTGACTCAGTTCATAAGCTGTAATTCAGACTGTTAGCAAGATCTGGGGACAAGGGCTTCTTTCATAATTACCATCACTCCAGAAAAAAAGCACCTGCCACTTTTGCATGCAGTTTCCAGAGTCCCCAAGAAGATATAATCACCATGGTGCCTGCCAACCTGAGCAATTTTTTTCCTGGGGCTCTGCCCAGCCAAGATCAGCCCAACCCTGACCTCCCGTGCAAGATGCCATTTTCCGATTGGATACCTAAGCAATCACTCTTGTCTTCATTTTGTGCTGCTATCTTGGAATACTTGTGACTGGAAATAAAAAGAACACAAATTTATTTTTACTGCCTGGGAAGTCCAAGGTCTAGAGACCCAAATCTGGGTTGGGTCCCCTTGCTACTCCATGAAGAAAGTACAAGAACAAGAAAACATGCATAAGAAGGGAAGGTATCCAAACTCATCCATTCATCAGGAACCAATCCCATAATAACTGGTCCATTCCTGCCATAATACATTAATCCATTCATGGCCTAAACTCTTCTTAAAGGTTCCATGTCTTCATTCTGCTGCTTTGGGGATTAGGAGTCCAACATATGAACTTTGGAAAACACAGTCAAACCATAAGAATTATTGAGCATGTGCACCAATTCTTGGTTGCAAGCTACAGGGCCTGAATTTTAATTACGACTAATAAGGAAGCAATCAGGTTACAAATCAGGCTATAGATTTTGTGTGTCTGGAATTAAGACTTGACCTCAAATCAGTAAGTAGGAGGCTGGAGGCTAGGCAGGGACCCTGCATACATCACTGGTTTGGATAAGCACCATAACAACATGTCTWATAATGTTAATATTTCTGAGATTTTTTTAATGTACAAAGGTAAAATTCATATAATATAAAATGAATCATTTTATTATGAATAAGTCAGTGGCATGTGTTATACTCAAAGAGTGTTATACAACCACCACTTCTGCCTGGTTCCAAAACATACCCATCACCCCAACATAAAATCTTATACCCATTAAGCTGTTCCTCCTCACTTTCCCCTCTTCCATGCACTGATAACAACCATTAAGTGTCTCCCTCTATGGGTTTATCCATTCTAGACACTTCCCTATGTGGATTTTTCATGACTGGCATTTTTTGGGGGCGGGGGGAGGCGATGCTGGGAATTGAACCTAGGGTCTTATGCATGCAAGGCAAGCACTCTACCAATGCACTATAGTCTATATTCCCAGGCTATGACTGGCTTCTTTAACTTAGCATATTTTTAAGGTTCATCCTTGTTGTGGCAGGTGTCAGTTCTTCATTTCAATCTTTGACTGAATCATGTTCCATCATGTGCCACAAGCCACAATTTGTCTGTACATTCATCTGCTGATGAACATTTGGGTTGCTTCCATCTTTTGGCTATTGTGAATTGCACTGCTATGAATATGTGGTTACATGAATCTGTTTGATTTTCAATTCTCGCAGGTATATAACTAGGAGTGGAATTGCTAGGTCATATGGTTACTTATGTCTAACTTTTTGAGGAAGCACCAAATTTGTCACCTGTGCCATTTTAGCAAATGGGAGAGTGCCAACTCTCCACCTCCTCACCAACACTAGTGGTGGAGTGCTTGCCTAGGAATGAGACCCTAGTTTCCATCCCCAGCTCTGCAAAAACAACAAAAAAGGATCACCTTTACAGGAGGCAAATCTATCAGTTCATTAACGTGAAAAYAGGTAAATGAGGGGAAATTTCTTACAGAAGTATTCCAGCTATTAAATGATAATTTATTTATAAATTTTAAGTACTTTATAATTGTTCATCATTATTACTAATGAAATATATAATCTAGACTCCTAACATCATATAAAGAGAAATAGCCATATGTGCCACCATTGTAATGTGTTCTTGCCAAAATGGGAAAGACAAATCTGGCTATACCTCTATATCTCTGAGTTCTCAGTTAATACAGAGGGCAGAGAAATAGTTAAATAATGTCAGGGATATGCAAATAACAAAATTCAGAATGTTAAAAAAAGTCTATAGTATAAATAATACAGTTTTCTCAATGATAAATTTCAAGGAAATGAAGGACAGATGGTTATGAAATTTAGAAGACAAAGCAACAAATTTTTTTGTTTTTTTTTAAGACAGAGAGAATTTTAATATTTATTTTTTAGTTTTTGGTGGACACAACATCTTTGTTTTAATGTGGTGCTGAGGATCGAACCCGGGCCGCACGCATGCCAGGCGAGCGCGCTACCGCTTGAGCCACATCCCCAGCCCAACAAATTGTAATTTTAAAATTTTAGTGTTTTTAAAAATCATTGAATATTTTGACACTAAAGAATTATTCATCTTTTTAAAGAGCTCTTACTGTTCAGAGGCACACACCAAAATATTTATAAACATCTGGAATGTGCTTTAAAACACTTCAGTGAGGGAAGAAGACAAGGAGGAAGCAGTGGGTAAAGAGAAATCAAGATTGGCTGAGTTTAAAATAAAAGTCAAATGATGACTACACAAGGATTCATTTACACGTTTGAAATTTTCTATTATAAAATGGTTCCCATGAAAAGAGAGAAGGTAGCCATCAAGGAAATTCTGAGGGTTGGCAATTCTGTTATAGATTTTTATATTAAACAGTTCAAAATTTTAGATATCACTTTAGGAGGGAAGTTACTATGTATTAGTAGTGAACCCCAGTGTATCCAAAGATACAAGATCATTAACTTCCTAATGAAAGATTTCTCCTGAGCTTTCTTTCACATGTCCTAGACTTCAGAAAATTTACAGATAGGTAGATAATAAACAGAGAGAGGTATGAAATAAAATTCCAGAAGAATAGAAATGTACAGAAAACAGAAAATATTTGACATTTCAATGGGTATAAAAAACAAGGCTACTATAATTCCATGGGAAAAACTCCCTTTTAATGGAAGCTTTTTGAAAACATTGTCCATATGCTTTGGCCTCAGAGTAGACATGGAAGAGGACAAATGGGCAGGACAGCAAGGCTCAGCTCCTACTGAAGTTTCTCTCAAGAGATTCCAACTGGCTGAAAACCCAGAGGCCTGTTCAGCTAAGTGCATGATCAAAATCAATCAATAACTTAATTCAAGTAAATACAGACACTAATACAGCAGCCTCCATGGTCCCTGCCTGGCCTTGAGAGACAGATTTTTTGGAAAAGATACACTCAAGTGAGTCTATCCCAAATCCTGAGGACAGGAAACCTCCAACTGGGTTTGGCTGGCAGGGCGCTGGCTATCTTGCCTAACTTGTCTAAGAATTGGGGGGCTGGGAGACTGGTTTTTCATATGGACCTCTGCAGCAGCCCTGTGTGGATGACTCAATAACACTTCACCCTAGTTTAGCACAACTTCACAGTCCCCACAGATAAGCCAGGAGGACCAAAAGGGTTATTTGCTAAGTCAAAAGTAAACTTGTGGCTGCCTGCCAGGAAATAGGTGATAAAAGCACATGTTTCCAAGTGGACCGTGTAATACAAATGCTCATCACTACCACTTATCTCATTTGCAATGCAGAATGGGGGAAAGAAATCTCAAAGAATATGACATTACAAGGCACCATCAAACAAATGACACCTTGCAATTATAATGACACACAGTTGACAAAAGAAAAACTTAGCAGCCAGTGTTCAAGGCACAGCATAACAATGTCGCTGCAGTGCAATTCACCCTCATTATGCCRGGCCCAGAATCTTAAACAGCAAGAAAACCCTTTTTGATGGCAAAATAATATAAGAAAATGTAAACACAGTTGCAAATACTGCAGCTTCTAATTCTTAAAGAAATGTTATAAATGCCTACAAACATCAGTTTTCCTGAATCAGCACTCATGAAAAATAGGTCACTACCACTTTATCATCTCTAATTGGTGTCCAGGACCCCAAGTATCTCGGGAAGTAAGGGTCCAGATGAAAAGGACAGAGACTATTAAGAGGTAGGTGGTGACTGAAACTCAGGGAAGTACGCCAACAGGACCAAGAACACCTGCCAGGCCCAGATTCTGTATCCACAGATTCTGAAGATCAAGTGCATCATTAAAACACGCAATCTGCAGAGTTAGAAATTTTCCCCTATCACATTCACTGATGTATCTCAAGTACCAGAAGAGTTCCAGGCACATTGCAGGGCCTAATTACTTATGAAATGAATCAGATAAGAACATATAGAAAGGGCTGGGGTTGTGGCTCAGTAGTAGAGCACTCACTTAGCATGCATGAGGCACTGGGTTCAATCCTCAGCACCACATAAAATTAAATAAAGATACTGTGTCCACCTAAAACTAAAACAATAAAAAAATTTAAAAAAAAAATAGAAAAGCATTTTTATATGTCAGATAAAGTGCCATTGATATAGGGCATTAATACTAGTTCACCTTTCAGACTCATTTAATCTAGTCTTTTGGCAGAATGTGACATTTTTTAAAAATACGGTTTATGTTTATTCGTGATCAATAGCAAAATATTAATTTCCTAATAGCTGTTGTTATAGTGCAAGGAATATGCTGGGATGGGAAAACTTTACAGATGAGGGAAGAATATTACAGTCAGAGAAAAAGGCTACAAATGAAGCAAAACAAAGGAGGCTGCTTGAGAGAAGATCCCAGCGGGGTGGAGGCCGAGGTGAGGTCCAGCAGGGAGCAGGCTGGCAGCACGTGACAGGAGGCCCTCACATGGCCCTTGCAACACAACGCACTTTGGAATCCTCTGTGATAACAAGGTCTCATCTGTGTCTGTCATTCACCACGGTATTCTCAGTGCCAGGAGCATAGTAGGTGTTTAATAAATATTTGTAAATGGAAAAGTGTGAGGTGAGTCTGAGCCAGATCTCACAGGCAGGATAGAGACCCAGGATAATGAGCTTCAAGCTGCCAACCACTGACAAAATTCTGCCCCTACTACTGGACTTGGAGGTGTGTCCAAACACCCAACTGACGGGAAAAATCCCAGCCTGAACTAAAGTTCAGAATACTGTTTCCCTTAAAGGTTACCAGAAAAACCATAGGCACCACTTAGATAGCAGGCATGGGCGGCTGTGCCCTCTGGGAGCTCTCAATAAGCCAGACTTGTCCTCAGCCTGGTCTGAGTCAGTGGAAAGGAAATGGCCCGAGAGCCTTCCTGCATGCCATCACTGCTTGTCCTCCAAGCCCATCAAAAAGATGAAGGATACCCTGGGGCAGGGATTCCTCAGGTGGTGCCCTCACTGCACCGGGGGCTCCAGGCGATGCTGGGTCTTCTGGTGCCGGTTGAGAATGGACCTCTGGTTGAAGCTCCGACCGCAGGCGGGGCAGTGGTAAGGCTTCTCTCCCGTGTGGATCCTCTGGTGTCGGACCAGCCGCTCCCCTTTGCTGAACCGCTTCCCGCACACCTGGCACCCATAGGGCTTCTCCCCGGTGTGGGCTCGCCGATGCACAGCCAGGTTGGCATTCCTGCTGAAACTCTTGCCGCACTCGCAGGTGTAGGGCTTCTCACCGGTGTGCGTCCTCCGGTGCACCTGCAGGTGCTGCCTCCGGCTGAAGCTCTTCCAACAGTCCCCACACTTATAGGGCTTCTCCCCTGTGTGGCTCCGCTGGTGGACCTCCAGGTGGTGTCTCTGGCTGAAGGTCTTCCAGCACTCATTGCACACGTAGGGCCTCTTTCCCAGATGGGTCCTCTGGTGCTTCATGAGGTACTCCCTCAAGGTGAAGCCCTTCCCACACTCCACGCAGCCATAGGACTTCTCCTCTTCATGGGTTCGCTGGTGTCTGACGAGATTGGAGCTCCGACTGAAGCCTTTCCCACACTCGGGGCACTGGAAAGGCTTCCAGAAGGAACTCTGCGCTTTGAGATCCTCAGGCAAGGAGACACTGTGCTGCGGAGCAGGAAGTCCTGGCAGACCACTCCCGGATTCCCCAGGCTCCTGTTCACAGGCTCCTCCCAGCCCAGGTCCAGGGACAGCAGCTTCCCCAAACCTCTCAGATGACAGCCCAGCAAATGCCCCTTTAAGGTCTTCCTGCTGGGGTTTTGACTCCTTTTCCTTGCTCCCAATGCCTACAGGAGAAAAGAGACCAAGACTGATTCCATGGTAGCTACCAAAGGTAATTTATGTGTTAGAGCTTTGCTTCCAAGAAAGGCCCACTGAGAGCAGCTTCTCTTTTCCCTGTGACTAACAACTTCAACACCTTTCACTTCTGTGGATCCTAAACTCAGAACTTCCTTTACTTCTTCCCACTCCCTACCCTCATACAGAATATATGCCAAATTTTAATCCCCYCTCGTTTTCAGACTTTTCTTCAAAATCTATCTCAGTGATTCTGAGAAATACACCCTGGTTATTCTCGTCCCCCAGCCTCTTCTGCACTGATATCCTCAATTAGCACTTATTTACACATGACTTTGCTGCAAATGCTAGTTTACATTCACCTACATCTTCTGCCTTCCCAAAATAATTACAAACCCATTCCAATAACCTGGCCCTGCATACCCTGCTCCCTCTACCTAACCAAGTATCATTAATCTGGGCCCCCTAGGAGCCTGGCAGGGAACTGCGCAGGGAGATGCTGGCTGAAGGAAGGAGCCCAATCTGTAACTGAAGCTCCAGTTACAAACCAATTCTGTGCTGGTACAGCTACCAGGACTATATATACTTAGGATCATAACTCCACCTAAGAAAATAAATATAAGTTCCTCGTACATAATATCGAGTTCATGTGCAGATTTCTCCAGGAGCTAGTTAAAGTTCATACATGGTACTTAGTTTCAGTTTTCCTACTCCTAACACTTCAAAACTGGAAACTACCCAAATGAACCTTTTCTCCTGTGTGGATCCTCTCCATGAAAAAACAAATTAATTACAGCTCCACACCATGAGGTCATGAAGGTCACATGTCCTTGTTAGGAGACGCATGTTGAAGTATTTAGAGTGAAAGATCAAATGGCTCCATTTTCAAAATTATTCTGAAAATACATTTTATAGATAAATATGGCAAATGTTAACAATTATTGAAAAAGACAAAGGTATAAGTGTGTTCACTATAACGGTACACTAGTCTTAGTGATTTTTGTRGGCTTTTTTTGTAGGTTTGAAAGTTTTTTCAGCAAATGTTTAAATATAAAGCTGGAGGGAAATAAATAAAATATCTAGGCAGAAATGAAAACACTAAGACAAAGACGCATTAGTACAAAGAGAATGGAGTCAGAGAACTGGTTTTGAATGTGGCACTGGCTACTTAATAGCTATGGGATTATGGAAAAATCAATTAATCTCTCTGAGCCTTACTTTCTTCATCTTCAAAATGGATAGTACACTGATAAAGGTTCCTGTATACACAGCAGGTATGCAATGGTAGGTGGTATGATTTTAGCCCTTAGACCAAGCACTGATTTCCAGCTACTTCCAGAGAATCTCCCCCTGGATCTCAAACTCAAGATGGAACCCTCCATTCTCCTCCCCCTTAGGAAAGCACTTCCCTTCCTTTCTCACAGTAGCACCAGTTTTCCAGTCCAATAGCCAGGATCTCAGCCTCCTCCTTGACTCTACTCTCTCCTCTTCTCTAGCTAATCGGTGATCAATCCTTGAAAAAACGTCTTGGTAAACCACCTTCTTCACCACTGCCAAGTCTGGTTCCTGCTCTGGCCCTATGCCTGTATCTCCTTCACCCTAGAGGTCAATTGCAATAACACTTTCATCACATTACTCAACACTGCAAACTTCTACCAGAGCCCACAGCCCTCAGCTAGTCTCACCCTACTTACGCAACCCCTCTTTCTTTCTCTTCTGAACACTCATCTTTCACCCCAGGGTCTTAACCATCTTGCAAACAAGTCTCCTGGAGTCAGTGTGTGCATATGCTACTCTCTGCATCCATTATTCCAAATCAGCTTCCAAATTCCTGCACCAGCCCAATCTCCATCTGTTTGCTCCCATAACTCCATTTATGATCCAGACCATAAGGCTGGCAGTTAGTCACTCTCTAATGACAACAGACCAAGGCCTGAAAGGGAGCTGAGAACCCACCTGGCCCAGCGGTCTCCCCAAACTCATCTCCTCCTTATAAATTAGGCAGCTTGGTCCTGTCCCACACTGCTATCTTTGCAAGTTCTGGGACTGAATCCCAGGTAGACCTGAAGGCTGGAATTCATAGCAGATGGTACACTTGGAAAACAGAGATAACTGCACAAAGCTGGGGCTCCTGTGATGTACCCAAACAGAGGCACACCATGCCACCTAGCAGAAACACTTAGGGATGTGTATCCAGGCTGTTTGGAGACGCAGGGCTGGTGAGAGGACAAACACGCACCAGGGTCTCTAGAAGTCAGAAACAGCCAGGACCGGGTAAGCACTCTTGAGGATGGAAAGGCATCACTGCAGAGGCATACAGCTAATGGGGATTAGGGCTCTGGGAAGCTGGGACTTCTATCCAGGGCACATCACGGGAGCCCCTGCCTTGTGTATTTATCTCCAAAGTTTGCACATCTTTTACCCTGTGGCAATTACAAGCCTCTATGTAAAACACACCAGCATCTTTTGCCACCCACATCACCTTGCCCTGGACACAGGTCCCCAATTCCCCCTACCTGGTGCTCCACCCTATTATAAATCTCTGTGGGTAAATAAAATGAATGAATGCTGACTTATGAAAGAATCAGTTAATAATATTTGTACAAGTATGACCAACAAATATTTGCAAAAATGTTCAACATCATTTGTAATTAGGGAAATGTAAATCAAAAGTGCACTGAGATTTCATCTCACACCAATCAGGATGGCAGTCATCAATACAAAAATAAATGCTGGAGAGAATGTGGAGAAAAAGAAAAACAACTTTTACACTGTTGGTGGGATTATAATACAACCACTATTAAAATCAATATGAAGGTTCCTCAAAAGACTAGTAATGAAAACAGTATGTGACCCAGCTATACCACTCCTCAGTATTTACCCTAAAGAATTAAAGTGATCACACTATAGTGATAAGACATACCCATGTTTATAACAGCACAATTCACAACAGCCAAACTATGGAACCAGATGTCCATCAACAGATGAATGGATAAAGAAAATGTGGTATACGTGCACAGGGAGTTTTATTCAGCCATAAAGAAAAATGAAATTATGTCATTTGCAGGAAAATGGATGGAACTAGAGACCATTATGTTAGGCAAAATAAGTCAAATTCAGGTCTAGAGTCAAATGTTTTCTCTCCTATGTGGAAGCTAGAGAGAAAAAATGAAAAGAAAAGGTGGGGGATCTTTCATGAAAATCCAAGGGAGATCAGTGGAGGAAAGGGACCCAGGGGTGGAAGGCAGGGAGGAAGGGAAGTGCCAGGAAATGATCCTGGCCAAACTACATTGTTCTATGTGTGCATGTACAAACACGGAACAACAAACCCATCGTTATGTACAACTATAATGCATGAATAAAAATTGTGGAAAAAAAATCAAAGTTGGGCAAAACCCCCTCCCAAAAAACAATATTTGCACAACTAATAAAAATATGTGGGCTGAGGATATAGCTCAGTTGGTAGAGTGCTTGCCTTTCATGCACAAGGCCCTGGGTCGACCCCCAGCACCACAACCAAAAAAAAAAAAAWATATGTGCTAGCACCATGTTTGCCACACATTTTGTCCTCACAATGCCATGAGGCCATGTGAGTCATTTCATGACTGAAGAAACTGAGACCTGAAGAGATCAAATGAGATGGTCATGGTTAGTAAAAGAGGGAGTCAGGATGGAGCCTCTTGCATCCTGAAAGAAGCACATGACCCTCTTGCTCATCCTTCAATGTATTTCAAGGTGAGAAAGGTCAGATGGAGTCTGTACAGATGAAGGGTCAACACATAAAATACAAGGTTTTGAAAGGAAAAAGAAAAGAGTTAGCGGGGAGCAGGGGAGGCTTGTTCCCAGCCACGTTTTCTTCTTCTCCCCACTGTTCTCATTCAACCCACAAAGATTCTCCCCACTGCTCCTTGGTCCCTGATCCCCATGCCCTGTAGTGCACTCTGCTGGCTTCCCCACAGGCCCTCACCCTGCACTGCCAGCCCTGGCCTCACTCCTGCTCCCTCCTCCCCTATGGGCTCCTATCAGTGCAACCACAGGTCAAACCCAGCCACCACCTGAGGCAGGCCCATCGAGAGTTTGCTTCCTCTGTGACACAAGCCCACACTTACCTGTCCCATTTCTAAATCCTTACCGCACATGTGCACACATACACACAGAGAATGCTCCAATTCTTTCCTGTATATTAGTCCAGGCCACTTCCTGCCCCAACACAAAGCTACTGTGTGAGGCCTGCACTCAGGGAGTGCTCAATAAACACTTGCTAAATGAATAAGACCAGGTGCTCCTTTTTGGCTGTTTTCCCTCTTGCTCTGAAGGCAGCTAGGGACACACACAGATGTCTAGGGATGCTAATGACTGACCTGTCTATTTGGAGCCAGAAGAGCTGCCTCGTGTTTTTCTGCTCCATTGTCTGCCTCCTCTTGACAAAGGAATGCTCCCTACAGCTGGCCCATGTTCCCTCCTCACCTGCCATGAAATCCACTTCCTTTGTCAGCAGCACCAGGTTAGGGCAAGATCCCTGACCTGGAGCTTTCAAAACCCCTCAGCTTCTCACCTTTGGGGTGGAGACAGAGCCTTACCTGAAGAGACCCCACAGTTCTGTGGTTCCACATATTCCCCAAAGCAGTCAATCTGGGCTGGGGTCACATGCCTCCACTCCTCCTCAGGAAAAGGCAGGGCCATGTCTTTAAAGGTCCCCAATCCCTGAAACAACAGATTGCTATAAATAAAGAGACAGTCCCTAAAGAAGAACCATCTAATGGCCACAGTGATCAGAGGGAACAGCACAGGGCTGAGCAGAGTAAGACAACAGAAGGAAACCAGCCTCTCAGTGCCCTGGGAAATGAACCAACTACCTCCTGACAATTCAGTGAAAGAGTAATTGACTTGAGTCTCTGCTTCAGCAGCTCAGCTTGTCCCCACAACTCCAGCTGCCATGCCACTTGGTCACCTGCATCATCAGGCATCACAGAGCCTGGGAGTTGCCCCACACCCTCTCAAGCCCCATCTTAAGAATGACACCACATTAAAAGAATTGGGTCCTTATTTTCTCATTCACTACACCAGGAAGAAACTCTATGGCAGAAGGGATGGGTCTAACCAACTGGAAAAAACACTGTCGCTCCTCGACCCTGCAAACCTCCGGAACGGGAAATAGCCCAGCCTCAATGCCCAAATATGGCTTTAGCCATAGTTAAGATATGACTTGCTTCTTTTTTGTTCTGTCAAATAATTCCTTTACTTCTTCAAGAARGTCCTTAACTTAAGACTCACGTCCTTCAGAAAAGTGTCCCATGGGAAACCCCACGTCCCTGGTCACACTTAGCACCCTGTGGAAGGRATTCCAACTGGGGTGAGAGCCTCCCATCTGTGCTCTCATTACCCTGTGCAGCAGGTTTGCAAGTATTAACAGGGCCTCCACTCCTGGGATGGCAAGTATAGACCAAGAGACACTGCTCAGGGCTCCAGGAGCCCCAGCCTGAGCCAGCTGCCATCCCTGGGACATCTCCAGAGCAGCAGCAGAAGAAGCACCCACAAAGGACATCTATCTCTAGGGTAACCACCATAGCAGACACACACCTACAGGGATTCTCTCAATGTCTTCCTCCTCATGGTAAGAGAAATACCAACACATCAATCAGTGGCTTAAGGTCCAGGTATAAGAGTCAGTGCAAATTAATAACTAGGGATGGTGGCAGAACGGAGAAAATGACACAGCTGTATTACCAGAGGTAGAAAGGCCAAGCGACTCCACTCTCTGGATGGCGCTTTGCATAGTGAAGCTTTGGGGAAAATGTACATTAGTCAAAGCAGCATCAGGATCTCCAAAAGGGCAGAGTCATGGCTCACCTGTGCTCCTGCTGAAAGAAACCCAGCTGCCATCTCTTGGTCTCTGGTGTTCATTGGAGGGAGGCCTGGACCCATTTGAAGAAGAGGGAGTGCTGAGTAGAGACAAAAAGCAGGAGAAAGATCAACATTGTTGACAATCATCCCTTTCAAAGATGACCCCCATCCAAGACACACAACCTCAGAAACCTGCAAACTCCAGAGAAAAGTGCTTTGGTGCCACAATGACCCACACAGGGGTATCTGAGTGGCCCCTGCCCTGTCTTCAGCAGTGAAGACTGTCCCAAATCTGTCATGCTCCCTGGCCACACTCAGGAATAACTTCTTTGAGATTCAGTAACAAAAAAATGTCACTTATTACTTTGAGGGGTACGGTTTGTCTTCCCACTTAATAAATATTCCCACATCCATTGCACAGTTCCTGGTAGTTTCTAGAAGGCATATGAAGAAGTAGAAACAATAAAAGAACATGATTCTAGACATGCCTTCCAGAAACCAGGGTCAAGGCAGAGAACACGATTTCATCTCAGTTTCCTACTGAGGTCAAGGAAATAACCGGGAACATTCAGAATTACACCTTGCACATACTACTGTTGGGTTTTTGAAGGACAGGGTGGTGACAGTTGGTATAGAGCAGTTCCCTGTGCCCTTCCGTCTTCGCTATCTGCATCTTACCCTGCTCTTGGAAGGCCTGCGTCCCATCTCCAGGGTCCTGACTCAGCTGCTCTTCAGTTCTTTGGTCTAGGACTTGAACTCCTTCCCCGTGGGGCATCCCCCACTCAGGCTTGACCTCTACTGGCTCCAGGTGGATGCCTGGCTCCCAAGCACCTCTGCCAAGGGCTGTCTTCTGCTGTTCTCCCTGCATGTGGCATGGAACCTAAGAAAAATTCCCAACATCAATTAAAATGAGGCTTAGTCAAGACTGTTATGATGGGAGTTGAATTAAAACCTAAAAGGAGAACCACTGTGGCTTCAAAAGAGACAAAGGAAAAGCCAGCTGAGCTCCTCCTCCAACATCAGACAGGAGGTGGAAAGGAAGTGACACTCCCTTTATCAGGCCCTGAGCAACTTGTCTCTGCCCATGCTATTTGACAAGCTTAACTTGTTAACTGCCTTGATACTGATCAAATTTCCCATGAATACTATCTCCAAGAGCCCAAATGCTGTCCTGCTGAAAACCTAAACACAACACACTCACTATTAGAAAATAAACTTCCTAGTAGTAAAAGCAAAAATGTTTTTAATTGCAAAGCCCAGACACTGTAATAAATTAGCTAATGAAAACAGCAGTTCTACAAAGAGCAAGGACAACCAGGAGGACTCACACTGAGATGCACTCACAAAAACAAAGTCCTTCCTGGTCCTCTTTTAAGCTCCTGTGTGGGAGAAAGGCTGAGTTACAGAATGATTGCCCCTTGCCCTCTTTTCCCAGCCATCAATCAGGTGACTGTACTACACAGTGAAAGCAACATGGCCAGAGTCCCAGGCAACATTTATGGTGCAGTCAGCTGATATCATCAGAACAGCACCCCAAAATCACACAGGAGCCCCAAGAGCTGAAGTGGCCAACATGGAAACAGTACAGATATGGGCAACCAGTGGGTTCCCTGTACCCACAGGCATCTACCCCAAGGCAGGGCTGGGGACCTAAAAACAATCACAACTGCTTTCTTTAGGCCTGAGGCTCTCAAAGGAATCAGGGCCAGGCCTCTGCCCTAAGGCCTGAAAAGGAGCATCAGGCCCATCTGMGCACCAGCATCTTCCCTGGGAACAGCTCTTCCAGCTGAAAAACCCACCACTCTCCAAAAACCTCTCAATTCTTTAGAACCCCTTCCCATGGCAACAGCAAAAGACCCGGATACCCTCTTCTCACCCACCGCCTTGGCCTCCAGCGCATTCTCTGTCAAGTCCTCCACCATGGTCACCAAAGCCTTGCCACTCTCCAGGCCGTGATCCCGGATCCAGGTATAGAACTCCCGGGGCAGGATGGTCAGGAACTGCTCCAGCACCAGAAGCTCCAGGATCTGCTCCTTGGTGTGCAGCTCAGGCCTCAGCCACCCGCGACAGAGCTCTTGAAGCTCCCTGAGGGCTTCTTGGGGACCTGCTGCCTCCTGGTAGCGGAACTGCCGAAACCTCAGGCGAAAAGTCTCAGGACTGGAGTCTTCTCTTGCCCTGCCCCATGGCAACTCTTTCTCCATTTTCACCACAGGAATATCCATTTGCTGCTGAGGATCTTCCGCCATCCCTGGACGCTCTTTAAGCATCTTCACATTCCCTCTCAGAAGACTGAGAATGACAGCATAAATTTTTTTGAGAACACAAGACACATGAAAGCTCAGACCATCCCATTTGTRTCTACATTAATGAACATTCTGCAGAATAACATGGTAATGACCTGCAATGATGCATTTTCAAAAGGCTGAAAGTATGCCTTGAACATCAAGTCAGCTAAATGATTTGCCAAGAACCTCTTAGATACAGAGAATAAATAGAAAATATATAAGAGCTTACATCCCAAAGTAGCTTAAGACCTCACTGGAGACAAAATAAAACAATCAGGGAATAATATAAACTGGACTATAATTAGGTTAGTCACGAGGGCCCACTCTTTCAATACTAAAGGAAACATACATTCAACACACACACATAATCACATACCACATAACAGTGGTCTATATGACATTGGTCCCCTAAGATTATAATAGACCTGAAGTTTTTTCACTGACTAGTGAAAAAGCATAGCCTACTTCTACTAATAATAAATGACTATATTATTAGCTCACATATTTACTACTCTATACTTTTCATTGTTATGTTCGGAGTACCCTCCTTCTACTATTAAAATACAAAAATTTACTGTAAAGCAGTATGCTGTATTGCACCAACAGCAATCTCATACATCTTGTGTTTCCCACATCTCTTGATTGTATCACAAGGTCATGTCCAAGTCTGTGACATCATATTCAATGATGTCCACACAACAATGCATTTATCAGGATGTGTCTCCATAATTAAGCAATGCATGACTCTGTGTGTGTGTTTGTGTGTGTGTGTGTGTGTATACACACTTTCCCAGGCATGCAGAAACAAGAAAAAGACAAGGAACTTGTCTTCTTGAAACTCATACTAATACAGCAGATAAAAAATAACAAAGAAAATACATAAAATTACAAGTGAGGACAAGTTCTAGAAATGGAATAAATAAGGTGCTCTGTTAGTGGTGACAATGGACTTTAAGAGGTTGAAGAGGTTTTTTGTTGTTTGTTTGTTTGTTTGTTGTAGTATCAGCAGCAAGACCATTTATTACAATGTTGTTCGCATGGATTCCACTAGTTATAAAATTTTACACTCATCTAGCGCTGTTCAGCTGAGAATGTCAGAATGTTGTACAAGCACAGACTCTAAGTACACTGACTCTTGAAACATGCAGGGAACAGCAGAAAAAAACTACTTCCAGTTATGTAACTTGCTGGAAGAAGGTTTTTCTTAAGACATGATACTTAATTGAGACCTACAGGATAGAGCRTGAGCCAGTCATTCAAAGAGCATTCCCAGCTAGAAATCACTCTGCATGTTCAAGAGCAAGCCAAAGTCCAGTGTGGCTTCAGCAGAGTGAGGAGCAGAGCTGCATGAGTAAAGCTCCCAGAGCCAGACAGAAATCAGATTACCCAGGGCCTGCGCCACCATAAGAATTATAGGCTTTACGATTATTTCTTAGTGTAATGGGAAACTACGTATTTTTAAAAAGTCATACTGTGTGTCAACAGAGAATAGAGAATACAAAAAGGGAAGCAGTATTTCAGATGGTTCAAGCAAAAGATGACAGGTCTTTAGGTCAGGATGGTGACAAAGCAGACAAAAATCAAAACATTTTGAGGCAAAATTAACAACTTTGCTAGTGGCTTGGATGTGATGATGTGTTTGGCTAAAGAAGAAAACAGAGAAAAATATAGCCAAGGTCTGCCTCCCCAAATACTTGGTATAGATGAAAAACATGGAGAGTTAAAAAAAAAAAAAAAAGGAGAGATTAATGTAAGTCCAAGTACTACTGAGAAAGAGGCTTGTAGTAGACTGGAGAATGAGTCCTACTAACCTCCGTGGGGGGGCAAGTCGGGAAGCCTTAAGCTAAGGAGACAGATCTCAAGTCCAAAGAAGCAGGGAAGGATATCGGCTTGTTAGGACAGATCACCCCGATTGGAGCAGAGAATAATTAACTAGCAGGCGGCACCCTGGAGCCCTGCTAAATATTCTCTTGGGCGTTTGTGCATTTAACTATCACCCTTAAACCTATTTTACCTTTCTAGGCTACAGTAGGTATTTCCTCTGCTGCATCGAATTTCTCTTTCATGACTTTCTAGCTGTTGCATGGGTTCACTCCATTAGGGTATCTACAGCTCTGCAGATGCAACCGTTTACCAACGTCTATCTGATCCCCTGCAGGCAAGCATGGAGAGGGCCTCATTCATCTTTCATTTCTGCACTGGACAAACAGAACGCGCTCCGTAGCTGTTCTTTAGATGGCTGAACTACGTCCTATCCCAATTACTTTCGCTTTTCCAAGAGTTCGGCCTCGGTTCGAGATCTCCTCGGGCTCCTGAACCACCTGCATTAGGCCAAGCCTGGCCCGGTGGGATCAGCCTGGCTCCTACCTGAGTCGGCCGCGGCGCGAACGTGCGGACCCCGACCCGCGGGGCCTCTCCACAGCCTTTCCCGCCGCCCGGAGCCCGCCACGGGCCCGGCCCGGCCCGGTTCCAGTTCACCCGCCCGGCACCAGCACCAGGTTCGCTGGTGCCCTCGGCGGACCGGAAGTGAGTGAAGAACGCTGTCAGACAGGTGCGCCCGGAAAGGGCCCCTTCCGTTTCCCCTCTAGGACTCCCGGAGGTCTCGGAGGTGCGTCTCGATAGTTGCGTGGCGGGACCTCCAGAGGCTGCTCCTCCCGGGCTGACGCTGACCAGGCTCCATTGCACCTGCTTCCCCTCCCTGGTAAGAGTTCTCGGTGCATCGCCAGACGCACCACTGGACACAGCGCCTCTTTCCAGGGGCTTTAGAGTTGGTCGATGGACACGTGTCCGTTCTGTGCCGCCAGGGCTTTGTGCGAGGCGTAAGGGCAAAGCCCGAGGAAGGGAGTGCTGGGCAGCATGGGTTCTTACCGTGTGGCGTGGACCTTGCGGTGCTGAAGGTGGTAAGCGGGGTAGGATTGCTCGGGGAAGGCTCCCTGGAGGAACCGGCACCTGCGCTCAGTGTGGGAAGGTGGATCAAAAAAGGTTTCCACAAGAGGACGCATGTCGAGCCCAGAGAGTGCATGCAAAGGGACTGATGGCATTTCCACACCCCAGAGCCGCGGGAACCACCGGCCACACTGGCTTATCACTCAGCGTATGGAAAGCTGCCGAAAAGCTTAAAGGAGGAAAAGGGCAGATTTCAGAAGGAGGCTGCAGAGAAACCCTCCCGGAGAACTGAATAAGAGAGAGGAATAGGGGAAATAAACTGACTGATCGGACCAGAGAGTTTGAGTAATGTAATCCAGGAGTGAAAAGGTGAGACAAAACTGGAGCAGTCGTGAGACTAGAGATTGCCAGAAGGGTTTAGAGGTGAAACCTATTTGGGAGGTAAAATTGGAAGATTGATTGGAGATTGGAGATTGATCAAAAGGGTGGAGTTAGCCCACGCGGTGGCTTGCGGCGGTAATTCCAGCAACTAGGGAGGCTGAGGCAGGAGGATCACAAGCCTCAGCAATTTAGCGAGGCCCTAAGGAACTTAGCTGGACTCTATTCCAAAAATAAAAACTGTAACTCCCCAGGGAGAGGGAAGAGGAGGAGGGGGGAGGGGGAGAGGGAAGAGGAGGAAGAAGAAGAAAGAATGGAGTTATTTATTGAATGATAGGACATGTCTTGTAAGAATGGAACCAATTTGTCATCAGGAAAGATAAAAGATAAAATACTGCATCCATACCTTAACCACATGTGGAAGTGTGAAGGGGACAGGAGGCAAATTCCAAATGAATCAAAGATTATAATATGAAACCTTTATAACAGTGTCAAAAAATTAAAGAAAGGAGAAAGTTCAAATTATGATCCAGGAGACACGGAAGATGGGTACATTTTACTGTATCGATGTCAAAACTTTTGCCTAGAAAATCAAAAGACAAATCATGGAGAAAATACATTACAGGGGGGAAATAAGTTAATTTCACGACTAGATGAAGAGTGCCTAGATTTCACAAATAAAAAGATCACCAACCRTGGAGGGAAATGAGCTCACAGAAAATAATGCAAATGGCTGCTAAAAATATGAAATATAGCTGGGGCTGGGGCTCAGTGATAGAACACTTGCCTGGCATGTGAGGCACTGGGTTCGTTTCTCAGCACCAYATATAAATAAATAAAATAAAGGTCTATCAACAACTGAAAAAAAAAGATGTTTAAGAAAAATATATGAAATATAAGCTCACTTTTGCTGGTAATATGAGCAGTGCAAATAAAAACACTACTAAGATACAATTTCTTACTTATCCAATTAAAAAAAAAAAGTTTAACACAGTCTCTTGATAAAACTGTGGGAGGAAAGGCCTGTTTAGATAATTACAAAAGTATTTACTCTTTGAGGATATCCTGGGAAATTATTCTGTAGATACACATACACATTTATGTACAGGTTTATTCACTGCAGTATCCTTGATAGTGTGAAACAGTGTATCCATCAATAAGGGACTGGATAAATCAACTAGGATATATCCACATAATGCAGCACAATATATATCTATAAAAAGGAAGCACCAAGATCTATAAGATATAAAGAAATAAAAGCAAGGGACCAAAAATGCATATAAAACATATATCAGTACTGTAATATGAATATCTGTAGAAAAAATAAAACATTAAAACAACAATGTTTTCAACATGCCTGTAATCCCAGTGACTCAAGAGTCTATAGTGAGAGGATCACAAGTTCAAGGCCTACCTCAGTAATTTAGCAAGACCCTAAATTAAAATAATAAAAAGAGCTAGGAATGTGGTTCAATATTAAAGGGTTTCTGGGTTCAATCCCCAGTACTAAAAAAGAAAAAAAAATATTTTCTTGTCTTAGCACAAATATACATAAGGTAATCCTATTTATGTCACCCTAGGACTATTCTTTGATAGGTAGTGCCCCCCCAAAAGCTCAGATATTAATAATGCCCACTGCTTGGCATTATTGAGAAATTGTAGAACTTTTAAGAGGTGAGAGGTTGTAGGGTGAGTGGCTCGTGCCTGTAATCCCAGCGACTCAAGAGGCTGAGGCAGGAGAATCACATGTTCAAAGACAGCCTCAGCAATTTAGCAAGGCCCTAAGCAATCCAGTGAGACCCTTTCTCTAAATAAAATACAAAACAGGGCTGGAAATGTGGCTCCATGGTTAAATGCCCCAGATTCAATCCCCAGTACCCCAAAAAAGAGATAAGAAGTCTTTCAGTATCTGGGGGTGTGCCCTTGAAGGGACCCCAGCCACTTCCTCTTCTCTTTACTTCCCAAATGCCATGAGGTGAACAGCTTGCTACACCACACACTCCAAAATTGTGACTCAAAATTGAAAGAAGGAACAAGGCTCAATGTCGGAGAAAATGCCCGTTTATTGAGGAACAGCTCTGCATATTTATAGAGCGGGAGTGGTTTAACAGTTATGACAGTTTAATGGTTAAACAGTTTTTGATAGTTGGCAAATGATGCCAATCAGATGTTCCTGCATAACACTTTTCTCTGACTTACATAACCTCCTGGAGTAGTGGGATGGGGCATTTGAAACTAGCTGCCTGATTCTAGAACCTTTTTCTTGCTCAAAAGGACTTTGTTAAATTTAACATAGCTCAGATTTTTTTTTAAACAAGTTCCAGGTCAAAACTGAGCATTGGGGGCTGGGGTTGTGGCTCAGTGGTAGAGCTCTTGCCTGGCATGTGTGAGGCACTGGGTTTGATCCTCAGCACCACATCAAGATAAATAAATAAAATAAATGTATTGTGTTCATCTACAACTAATATATATATATATATATATATATATATATATGATAAATAAATAAAGGTATGGTGTACATCTACAACTAAAAAAAAATTTTTTTTAACTGAGCGTTGCCCTTTGGCCTTAGCCATGAGGGCTCTTGGTATCCTTTGCCAGAGTACTTCCAAGATGGTAACAAGGGCAGAAATGAAACTGTGAGGAAGTCCAGTCACATGTAGACAACAGCTGGCTCAAAGATCCTAAAGCTTTCATCATACTTTAACTTCACTGAACCTGGGCCAGGTGCAGCCAGGTGTGGCAAAGAGCACCAGTTTCTTCAACAAGTTACCCATGACATTGATATTGGAGGAGAGAGATGGATGTAGGTTGCAGTTTGTCCTTGTGAATTCCACATGTCCATCAATGGGTGAATGGATAAACTAAGTGGTATATCCATGCAACAAAAAGAAATGAACTATTAATTCATGCCACACCATGGATGAGCCTGAAACAATTATGCTGAATTCTATTGATATAAAATTCTAAGAAATGTATCGTATGGTAACAGAAAGCAAATCAGAAATGGGATGGAGATGCGCAGAATAAAAGGAAGGCAGAGATACAAATTGTGGACTTTAGGAAAAGCAGAATCTCCAAGAAAGGAATCAAGTAATGAATTAGACCTAAATTCAAAATGGAGACTGGGAGTCTTTCAGTGACTAGGGTCACACCTTACTCTGTGTTCCTGGAAGAACAACAAACTGAGCTTCACAACTCTTGCCCAGGCATGATCCTTTTTCTTTTTTATTTTTATTTTTATTTATTTTTTTAGTCATACATGACAGTAGAATGCATTTTGATATATAATACATACATGGAATGTACATACACCAATCATATTGTCTATTCTATTCTGCTGCCCTTCCTAACCTCCCTACTCCTCCGGTCCTCTCCCATCCTTTCTCTCTATCCAATCTAATGTGACACACTTTTTTTTTCCTTTTTCTCATTACAACATCATATATGTATTCTGTATAACAATGAGTTCTCCTTCCATCTTCTGTGCAACTCCCCTTCTCCCTCTTTTTCCCTCCCACCTCTCTTCCCTATTTAGTGCTAGTCTTCTTCTCATGCTCTTCCTCCCTATCCCATTTTGAGTCACCTCCCTTATATCAGAGAAGACATTTGGTATTTGTTTTTTAGGGATTGGCTAACTTCACTTAGCATAATCTGCTCTAATGCCATCCATTTGCCTGCAAATGCCATGATTTTATTATTTTTTAGAGCTGAGTAATATTTCATTGTGTATAAATGCCACATTTTTTAATCCATTCATCTATTGAAGGGCATCTAGGTTGGTTCCACATTCTAGCTATTGTGAATTGTGCTGCTATAAACATTGATGTGGCTGTGTCCCTGTAGTATGCTCTTCTTAGGTCTTTTGGGTATAGTCC